CTGAAAAAAAAGAGCAGCAAAAGCGGGAAAAAGTAAAGTTGAGAGGCAGTGCTGCTAAATGAGACAGCTGTTTGAAAGAACAATTAAAACACACACAAAATAACAGTGGGTTCAATGTCGAACAATTTCCTGTCACTGTTGGTGGAGCTATTTTTGTTACCGGCTGTTACTCTCTCCTCGGTGTCCGGGATAGGGCAATGTGGAAAGAAGGAAGAGAAGTCGAAGCATAAACGAAATCTAACTATGAAAAATGATATGTGAGGCAGCGTGGTGGAATCAGGCTCTCATCAAAATAATCAAAGTGAAGAAACTTGCATTTTTCCGCATGCTTGTGAATTTTTATCAAAATTTTTTTTTTTGGCTCAACACCTTTCATGCCCATTAAAGAACTCATTTCTGAGTGGATTTTTCTGAAACGCGTTGATTAAAGGCACACAAATGAAAATGTTCAGTTACCACGGACTCTTAAGCTAAGGAAATAACTAATCGTTGGCGGCCATTGTTTCACTAATTTTAGCTCTGAAAACAGGTGGCACCCACCTCCTTCTTTCGCAAATATCTCGACTTGTATAAAAGATAAATGGATATTTTTATCCTCCAATAAAGAAAAGTGAACAAGCTTTAAGATGATACCAATAACTCTACATGCCCAAAAGTTGACGAGAGCCTGATTCCACCACGCTGCATCACATATCGTAATTCTTGATAAAACCTCTTTATTCTCAACATGATTGTTAATTTTGTTTTTCTCTCCCTCCTCAAAGCGAAGCAATATTGTTGCGTGTTTTGCCGCTGCTTGTTTTTCGTCTACCGTTCTTTTTTTTCACTTTTGCTATTAATTTCCCTGTCCGTTCGTGATAAAATGTAGCCAACATTGTGACAGTTTGTATAAGATATTGAAACTCATCATCATGAACATCATCATCATTTTTATCTTCATCATCATCATCAGCATCATCATCATCATCATCATCATCATCATCATCATCATCATCATCATCATCA